TGCAAGAGTCCAAGCTGCTCACCTTAGAGGCCACACTGAAACAGGCTGCAATTAAACTTTGTCTGATTCTGGAGCTTATGCTTTTTCTGCTCCTCTTCATTCCTCTAAGTGTGATGTTCAAAGCCTCAATTCATGCGGTGTCAATAAGTGTTAAGTTAAAAAAAAAACTAAAACAAAACCAAAAAAAACAAAACAAAACAAAACCCAAAACAGGTTTTATGATCAACTATATTGAGGGAAAGCTATTTTCTTCCTTCCTCCCTCCTTCCCACTCTCCTTTCTTTCTTCTCTTTCTTTCTTCCTTTTTCATTTTTTTAAGTAGGCTTCACACCCAACATGGAGTGTGAACTCACAACCCTGAGATCAAGCATCACATGCTCTACTGACTGAGCCAATAGGGAAGGCTATTTTCAAAAAGTTAAGTAGGTTCTTTGCTGCAGGATGTCTCAGAGCCTTTATTATATTGATATGTGTTGGGTAGTTCCAAGAGGAGAGCAGAGTTAGTATCAGCTTCTTTGCTATGAAAAATTTTCTTGTGGGAGTAGTGTTCCCTGGAGCTCACTTTGGAAAATGCTGTGCTTCACTCTGCTACTTCCCTGATAACAATAGCGACAACAACAATAGTAACACCATGGAAGAGGTCATCACTCTCATGTTAACTTTCTCTCAATTGCAGTGATATTTTTCTGTCCATTATATTTTGAAGCTTTTTCAAAAAATGGCTCTTCTCATTGCCCCCCGCCCCCCACATCTAAGCACCCTACTTCCTTTTTTGAGCTCAGGCAGTTCAAGCCTGTGGGGGCTCATTGTTCTCTGTGACTGTAGCTCTTCTCGCCTTTGCCTGGGCTGTGCTCCTCAGTGGTCCTCCCCTTCTTCTCCTTCCCTACCTTGTTCATGAGGAAAATGTGAGAGGCTTGAAGAGAGAAGTGATGTGACAGGAGGCATGTGGTGAGACATGACCCTTTTTTCTTTTTTTCTTTTTTTTTTTTTTTGAGGCATGACCCTTCTGAGAGCCTGATGTTGCTGGGTTCATCCTGGGGCCAAGCACATGGCCACTCTGGGTCTCTCTCTGTCCTGTGTCTTTTTTTTAAATTATTAAAATATGTTACTTATTTATTCATGAGAGACACACAGAGAGAGGCAGAGATGTAGGCAGATGGAGAAGCAGGCTCCTGCAGGGAGCCTGATGTGGGACTCGATCCCGGGACCCCAGGATCACGCCCTGAACCAAGGCAGACGCTCAACCGCTGAGCTACGCAGGTGTCCCCGCTGTGCAAAGCCAAGGAAGGGCTTTCTTTTGGCATACCGTACTTATTTTTTCAAAAACAGGTTTGCTGGGAGTATAATTTATATACCATGAAATTCACCTGTTACATTTTCATTTTAACTTGTTTATTGTAATAGCTTTTTACATAAGGAGCACAAATCATTACACAGGGCAATGATATTTTTACAAGTCAGAACACCTGTGTGGTCACCACCCATTCCAGCAGCAGAACATCTCCAGCCCCCAGAACTGTCCCTGCATGTCCTCATTGTCAGGCACTCTCTGACTTCTAACCCCACAGAGTTTTATTTTTCAAAATTCACCAACCCTTTCTTTTCTCCTTCCTTGTTCCCCCCCTCCTTCCCTTCTCTCTCTGCCTCTCTCCTTCTTCTACCCCTTTATTCCCTTCTTCCTTTCCTGCTGGTTCTACTTCCAAATAGTTATTTGAGGTTTAGACCAACATGCACAGTAAGAGAGAATGTGGAAGCCTTCCACACGGTGCCCGGGGAGGCAGTGCAAGTGGGGGTCAGGCGGGGAAAGGCCTAGACCCCAGATTGGCCACTGCAAGCTATGAGTCCCAGAGCTTGTGCCTGAAGCTCTCTGGGTCTCAGTTTCCTTTTCTGGGAGATAGGAATAATGACTGACTTCAAAGGGTGTTGGGAAGATTAAATATGATGTTTTTACCTTATGTCTGTGAAGTGTTCATGGGGCACCCACCTGTAGGAAGTGTCAGGAAGGTTACGCCATGTAACTACATTTCTTTCTTTCTTTTTTTTAAAGATTTATTTATTTATTTAGAGAGAGTGTGCAAACACGTGCACGGGCAAGGGGAGGGGCAGAGAAAGAATCTCAAGCAGACTCCCTGCTGAGTGCAGAGTCCCAAGCAGGGCTCCATCCCACAACCCTGAGATCATCACCCTGAGATCATGATCTGAGCCAAAACCAAGAGTAGGACACTCAACTGACTTGACCACCGAGGTGCCCCCCCTCCCACCCCAATGTGTTTCTTATCAGGACGAGACTTTGTGGACATGAGGTCCAGTGGCATTTATTGAGCACCCACTGTGTATTAGGGCTTTGCCTCTCATCTGCATGGCAACCCTGCAAGGAGAGATTTTCTCCATTTTCCTGCACAGATGAATAAACGAGTCCTGGGGAAGTCGGTCCTGAAGACATAGAGGTTAAGTGTTGGAGCTGGAGCATGATGCCAAGGAGTTTGGTTGGAGTGCCTGTGACCCTAACACCCAGTATCCATGTCTTCCCGGCCACAGCCTTCCAAAGCCTCCTCGGGGCTGTCTGTAACTGTGAGCCGAGTACCCCTTTCTGCTGTGGAATCTTTTGTCTAACAGGGTTGCCATCTTCGAATGCCAGACAGTCCTCCTGGGGCCAGAGGTGGAGTTCTGGGGAAGGGATGAGTTGCCCAGGGCAGCGCATCAAGGGGGCTGCCTGGTGGTAGAGGGTTCAGACTGTCCTGGGTGTCGGTAGTGGCCGGGCCTCCTGGAAGCATGACCTCCAGCCCTGGGAAGATTCAGAGTTCTGGGCAGAGATCGGCCCTGTGGGGTGGCTGCATCTCACCACCCTGGGGCATTGGAGAAGAGCAGCCCACACCCTGCAGCTTCTCCTTGTAGGGCCCTGTCTTGCCGGGCGGGCTTCATGGGGTAGGGAATGTGGAGGAGGGCCAGGAAGGCCGGATATGATGTTACTGGTGATTCCTTCAGCTGGGACTGGACCAAGATGGAGTGATTTGTCCTCTGGCCCTGCTGAATGCTCAGTAAACAGCGGGTCACAGGTGGGATTCCTGCTATGTCCTCTCTATCAGACCAGCTCCCTAGGCTAGTCCTGGGCCCCTGAGGCCTTCCCTCCCAACCGCCCCCCAGCTGCTAGAACCCTTGTCTCTTGGTGTGGCCCCAGGGTGGAGGGCAGTGAGGGCATCCCCACCCAGTGCTCTGGCCAGCCCCCGACTTGTGGGTGGGCTTGCTGGGAGTGCTGCCAGGGCCTGCCCTCTTGCTAGCCCCAACCGTCCCTGTCCTGACCTGTGGGTTCCCTGGGGCCAGCCTGGACATCTGTATCCATCTTGCCCCAAACTCTGGAGATTCTGACACATTTCCTTTCATTGCTTCCAGCCATGTTATTTAAAGTAATTAACCTTAATTTATAAATTTTTATATCAAACTGCCTTTTAACTTTTAGAACTGGCAGGAGCAGCCTTATCCCTGGGCTCCTAATAGTTCTCCATTTAATCAAAATTCATCCATCAGGTTCCAGTGTTAAATCATCTTTTAATTGGGAGTTACATTCTGGTTAATAGTTTTATAATTCGCCTCCTCTAATAGTTTTTACCACAGGGATCTCTACTCCATTTTTCCTCACTCTATTATTGCGGCTCGCACTTCTGCAGGACGGCTTAGCCGCCCGCCTCTCTGGCCTCCGCTGGCCGCCTCTTTTGTTCTTGGTGGTCTCATTAATTCCCCGAGAAGAGTGTCTTCTCGGGCCTCCTCCTGAGGTGCAGCTCTCAGGCTGCCACAGCCTTCGGAGCTGTGGCCCCGGCCGCCTCCCTCCCTCCGGGAGAAAGCCAGAGACACAGAATGCGAGAGCGGGACACGGAGACAGGAGGGCCGAGGGATGCACAGAGAGACAATGCGGAGGGAGGAGGGTTCTGGAGGCCGGCAGGGTCCGGCCCAGGGCTGAGACAGGCGGTGGCTGGGGAGAGAGAAGCAGAGGAGTTTGCTAATGGAAGTGGCCCCGGCACTGGCTCCCTCCTGGCTCCTGCCCGCCTCCTCTCGGCCATGTCCTCTCCTGTCTGGGAGTCCAGATGGAGGAAGGACTCAGTGGCTCTGCCTGAGACCTCAGGGCTGCCAGGGCTACAGCATTCCTGAAGGCCGGCAGGGCAGTCCAGGGCCTCTCCTCATCCACTCTGGGCTGCTTCTGTGCTTGCTGCTCCTTCAAGATATTCACAGAAGCCACCAGGCCTCCTGCCCTCTGCCAGTGGGACAGGGCACAGAGACTACAGGACAGGGGTGGGGAGACCTCTGGAAAGCTGGGGAGGAGGGCAGACAGAGGAGACGTGTGCAGAAGGTGGATGGAGGTCCTCCAGTTAGGGAGCCCTGGACTGCGAGCAGACACACTCGATGGGCACATGCACATACACATGTGCACACACATGTGCTCCCACAGAGCCACATACTTGCACAGGCCTGAAACAGACCTAAGAGAGGCCAGTGCTGTGTGCTGCTGGCTGGGCCAGCTGGGCCTATGGGTGGGGGTCTCAGAGAAGACCTGGGGTAGGGGTTGTCAGAAAGGGTGAGGGAGGAGCCGGGAAGAACTAGAAGCCCCAGGACCTGGGCTGAAGCTGCAGATGTGGGCTTCCCTGGGGACCCGGGGGGAGGGGGGGGTTGCCGCTTGACCCTGAAGTTGCCTCCTGCCAAGTCTCCCTCTTCAACTCCCTCCAACTCCCTCCAGTTGGTGACTTTCCATTTCAGTGGGTCTCAGTGTCCACTGCTTGCCAGAGTCACCTGAAGAGTCTTTAAAATCCCAGTGTCCTGGCTCCCCCCTCCACTGTGGTGGTTTTAAAATATACTCACAAATCCTTTGATACTTCTCCCTTCTAGAGATGGAATCCAATTCCCTTTCCCTAGAGTGTGGCTTCCTTCTAACAAACAACAAAAAAGCAGAAGTGACTGTATGCTCTAGGAGGTTAGGGCATAAATTGCACTTTTTTGAATCCCTCACTCAGGGAGAAGCCAGCTGCCATGTCACGAGGACGCTTTGGTGGCCCTGGAGAGACCAGGTGACAAGAAACCGAATCCCTCTGCTGACAACCAGGGGAGTGAGCTGTCTTGAAAGCAGATCATCCGGCCGGCCCTTGGCAAGCCTTCAGATGCCTGTAGCGCCAACAGCCATCCATACTGCAGCCTCGTGAGAGATCCTGAGTCAGGACCACCTGGCCAGCTGCTCCCTCAAAACCACATCAGAGAGGAAATGTTTCAAGGGGCTACATTTTTTGGGGAAATTTGTTAGGCAGCAATAGGTAACTAATGCACATTCATTCTGTCAACTTCCCTGGGAAGGGGCCTGGACACTGGTGTGTTTAAAACCTCCTGGGGTACGCCAGTGTGCATCCAGAGTTGAGAACCCCTGCCCTAAGGCCTATGTGTGCTTGTGAGAGTGTCTGTGCTCGTGCACCTGGGTGTGTGCCCATGCCATGTGCATGTGTACGGTGGCAGGGGAACACTATGTCACACATATTGGTCAGGATGCGGAAGCAGCAGTCCTAGCACCCCTTTGAGTGTGCCCCCCTCTCCAAGTGAGTCAGGCTGTGTGCCCTAGGTACCTGCGTCAGAGCCTGGCTCGGGAAGGTCTGGGGTGTGGAAAGAGCTGTAGAGATCTTGTGGCCAGACCCATAGGGGTCATTCACCACGTCCTCTCCGTGAACTTTTCTGAGTTTCTGCATTTGTGGGCTGGGAACAGACGGATCACCATTCTGCTCAGTCCTTTGAGGAGGCATTAGTTGTGTTGGCTCTATGCCTCCTGGCCTTGTTTTGGCAATATTTTGGTAGCACCAGGACTTATGCTGTGATGGCTGTGGATGTGGTGATATCTACCCTGCAGCGAGGCAGGCATATAGTCAATCCAATGTGAGGTCCCTCTGCAGGATGGACTGGAAGTGGAGGGGCTGCCCGTGGGACATTCCTAAGAGGACAATTTTAGTCATGTCTGGTTTAAGCCTTTGGGATTTGAGACCAACAGTCTTGCCCTCCTAAATGCCAGGTGGCACAAATTGGTAGGATGAGGAGTTGGTCTTCACATGCCAGAGAGTGAAGATCTTGCTTCTGAAGCAGAAAGCAGAAGAGTTGAGTTCCTTTTAGCTGAGGTAGGTGGGTGGTTCCAGCCGAGTCTAGACCTCCCCTGGCTTTGTGTCCTTGGTTGAGCCTCTTACCCTTGCTAGGCCCCTGTTTTCTTCTTTCTTTCTTTCTTTCTTTCTTTCTTTCTTTCTTCTTTCTTTCTTTCTTTCTTTCTTCTTTCTTTCTTTCTTCTTTTTTCTTTCAACTTATTTATGAGAGATAGAGAGAAGCAGAGACACAGGCAGAGGAAGAAGCAGGCTCCTCGCAGGGAGCCTGATGTGGGACTCGATCCCCAGACCCCGGATCATGCCCTGAGCCAAGGGCAGAGGCTCAACCAAAAAGCCACCCAGGCATCCTGACCTCTGTTTTCTCATTCATGAAGTGGAGGAGCAAATGCTCTCCTGCCTTGTGCATGGACACACTGCATCTCTTCACTGGTGTAGCCTGTGAGGTTGGGAGAGGGAGATCCTGCCTCGGGGGGGAAGTTCACCAAGGCTCCCAACAATCTGCAGACAGAACTGATTCCCAGTCCTGGCTCTTACTTGCTGTGTGACCTCAGGCAAGCCACTGCCTCTCTCTGGGCCATGGTCATCATATGAGATAATAATGCCTGCCTCATGGGGTGTGAGGATGCAATAAGATGCTGCTGGTATGTGCCTAGTGTGGGGCCTGGTATCCAATAAAGGGCAAATTCGCTTTTTACAAGCCCCAGCCAAACTTTTTCAGGAGTAATTAGAAAACATGCTTCCTCGGGATCCCTGGATGGCTCAGCGGTTTAGCGCCTGCCTTCAGCCGAGGGGGTGATCCTGGAGACCCGGGATTGAGTCCCACAAGGGGCTTCCTGCATGGAGCCTGCTTCTCCCTCTGCCTGTGTCTCTGCCTCTCTCTCTCTCTCTCTCATGAATAAATAAATAAAATCTTAAAAAAAAACTGCTTCCTTTTCTACGGAAAATAACTTCTCATTTCCATGGGGCAGGAGGAGAGGAGATGAGGGAGGAGGAGGAAGAAAACAGCCTTTAAGGTGAGCACACCATATGCCCCAGGAGGGCTGTGCTCAGATTTTCAGCTCATTGTGGCATTTAAGCCTCATGATAATGAGGAGGATTGATCCCATGTTACAGATGAGAAAACTGAGGTGCAGGAAATTTAAGGAACTTCCTGGCTCAGTGTCACACTGCTAAGGAATACAGAACCAGGGCTGGAGCCCAGGCCCAGTGACTGCAAACACTGGGCTTTTTCATGGGTGTTTGAGGATTGGGAGAAGTCCAGGCTGTGGGCCTACCTCCCCCATGGGGCCCTTGACCTCATTTCTTGCTCCTTCCAGAGGCTGTCACAAGGGGAGAGGCAGGTGGGTGGAAGTGATGATGGAAGAGTCAGGGAGAGGTGTCCAGGAGTATCCTGCAGCTTGAAGGATTTAGGTTAGACTTTCAGGACGAATTCAGGTCCTGAATGCTCAGGGCAGCTGCAGGGAGCCTATGGGGGCTTCTTCCTTGGGGCACTCGGGGGCCGTGAGGAGCTAGGCTCCCCTCCCATGCAGTGGGACTGAGCTTGGGAAGATGGCGAGGACTGGTCCTTTGGGGAGGAAGAGGTGTTGTCAGATTGACCTCTGCAGGGACCCACCAGCCTATATTTCGATGGACAGGCCACCTCTCATTTTGCTGGTGCAGCTAGTCTGTCAAGCTCACAGGCTCCATATACCAGAGCTTATATTCCAGCCCCTGACGCTGCGAGCAGAGTGACTTTGGAGAAGCCACCTAACCCCCTGTGCCTCCATTCCATTATCTGTAAAATAGGGGAAAAAAACCTGTTTCACAGGTGGTGTGAGCCTTAAATGAGAAAACCCCTTTATATTATTTAGCCAAGTGCTTGACACAAGAAAAATCACCCAGTATGTGGTAATCACTGTAGGAATCATCTAAGAAGGCAGGAGAAAGCAGCACACGTTCAGTCTGGAGTCCCACCTGGCAGTGCTGAGTGGCCTGTCTTAGTCCTACATTTCCCCTTCTGTGAGGTCTTGAAAAGATCCATAGAACCTCTTTGGGCCTCAGTTTCTTTAACTGCCAGATGGGATCTAAGTCCTGCCCTTCTCTGGGGACAGAGAGACATCAGTGGCCAGAAATATATCATAGATGCTCTGGGCTGGAACAGATGGAGCCCACCCTTCACCCTATTCATGTGGTATCCCACATGGGGCTCCCCATAATAATCTTTGTCCTCACCACCATAATCTATTGAAAACACATTAGTTGAGCCCTCTCCCACTCTGGTGCCAGGCTCTGTGCTCATGTTGCCAGTAGCACTTGTTGGGGGCTAGCTCTGTGTTCTTCGTGCTGCAACGGCCAATGGTAACCTGCACAAACCTGGGAGCAAAGGCAGTGATCGCTCCTGCTGTATGGGTGTAGGGAACTTGCCCAAGGTCACAGAGGAAGATAAGCATCCACCTCTTTCTGCCTCCAAAGCTCCATTTCTCACTCCCTCCATCCTATTGCTTCCCACTGGATTCACCTGGGGCACTCCTGGGGCTCAGGATTAATGTCATCTCTACAAGTGGGCAACCACGATTCCTAGAGGGTCAATATCTTGTCCAATGTACCTTCCCCCGGCAGGTGGCTGAATCCAGGTACTTCTGATCCTGGATCCCCCTCTTCCCTGCTGCCCCAGGGATACCTCACCCCTGTGGGATACAGATGCCTTTGGTCCTAGTATCTGTTTTCCTATTTCCTCTCTAACTTCTGTGTCCCTGGGCAAGCCTCTGATCTCCAGCAAATCTGGCAGTTGGGGAGCTTTGTAACTCAGAAAGTTGCTGAGGAAGGGTCCTTGCCAGGGCCACTGTCCTGGGAACTGAGCTCCGTGCAGTGACATCTGAGGATTGTTGAAGGGGTCCCAGTCCCCATGGCACATTATCTCACCCTGGCCCTTACCTTTGGCGAGTGAACTCTCATGGGGCCCATTTCACAGATGAAGCAGCTGATGCTCAGAGAGCCTGAGCTAGACCCTGTCGCCGAGGAGCCTGAGCTGCTGGCCTGGCTAGCTCCTGTCACAGGCAGAACAAGAGGTGAGTGCAGGGACAGAGAAGGGGGGGGGAGGGAGTGGAATGAGCAAAGCTCAAAGCAGAGCTGGCCATGCGTAGTCAGGGTGGGGGTGGGGGGCCTGAAGAAGGGGACAGAGAGAGCCTTGGCACTTCTAGTGCCCTCAGTGGTTGGAGCCGGGCTGGCATTCCCTCTCAGTGTAGGGGACTCGGTTGCTGATAGGCCTCCTGCCCACTCTGCTACCTTCCCAGTACAACTATCCCTGAGCCCAGGGGTAATGGAACAATAGAGGGGATAAAGGGGGGAACCTCACAGCAGAAGGGGAGCATGGGAGAGAGGTTGTTCTCTTGAAACCTCAGGGCTTCTAGCACGCACTTACAGTGGGGTTGAGAGAAGCCTTAGAGTCCTTCCGGCCTTAGAGAATGGGAGTGCTCATTTTCCCAGTGGATGAAGCAGGTGAGGAAAGGAGGAGTGGAGATGAGGCAGGAGTGGAAGCTTGGAGAAATCCGGGGATAGAAAGAAAGAGACTGGGGATGGCTCGTGACAGCCTGAGCAGAGGCGGCAGATTGTGACCAGCAGGAGAGGCAAAGCTTGTGTCTTTGGGGTGCTGGTGAAGCTCCAGGGTCTCTATCTCTGTGGGGGAAGAATTAGGACTCTGCTGCCCAGAGAGAAGACTCAGCTTTCTTTCAAATCCCTTTTGGTGATGGAGGGGGCCAGGCAGGGCTGCTTCTTTTTCTTCTTCTTTTTCTCTTCCTCCTCCTCCTCCTCTCCTCATCCTCCTCTTCCTCCTCCTTTTAAAGATTTTTATTTATCCATGAGAGACACAGAGAGAGGCAGAGACATAGGCAGAGAGAGAGGTAGGCTCCCCCCAGGACTCTGGGATCATGACCTGAGCCAAAAGCAGATGCTTAACCACTGAGCCACCCAGGTGCCCCAGGCAGGGCTTCTCTAGGCCAAGGGACCCCCGCCCCCTTCTCCTAGCCCAGATCCAGGGGCTCTCATTCCTTATCCCCGCCCCTCCCACCTTCTGGCTTGCACCTAGGAGAAGTCTTGGATTCCTAGAATAGGATTCCTAGGACAACGGACTTCCAGGCTTCAGCCTGACATACAGATGGGGAAACTGAGGCCCTGGCAGATTTAGATAGATTATGTTGGGCTCATCTGAACTGTGGTCGAGTAGTGGCATGGCCTAGAGTGCACTGGTGCCAAGTCCTGGCTGGGTTTTGGTCCTAGCTATTCTTCTGGGAGGAGGGAGTGCATATCTAAGCCCCCTTTCACCCCAGCACCACCCAGGGAGACTTTCTTGAGGGCAGTGAGTAAGGCTAAGAGGCAATGGGGAAGTGGATGCATTGGTGAGGGGCCTCCTGGGGGTGGGCATTTTATATGCCCTTTTGACTCATCACCATCTGTGGGGCAGAAATTATGACTCCCATTTGACACCAGAGGAAAGCCAGACTCAGAAAGGTTAATTAAATGGCCCAGGGTCACTCAGCCGGTAAGTGATAGAAATCAGGATTCGAATCCAGGTCTGGCCCCAAATCTAGGCTCTTCCCATGCTGCTCTGTGCATGGGATTGAGAGTGGACTTGGAGGGAGAGCATCTGTCTTCAAACTGAGGCCCCGGCCAGGAGTGGGAGGACTGCCAGCATGCAGCAGGGCAGGGTGGGCAGGTCCCTTGTGCACGCAGACCTGGAAAGCCTCAGCTAGAATCCTGGCTTTGGCACTCTTCACCCATGTTTGGCTGGGTGAGACCCTTTTCCTTTCTGAGCCACTGGTAGGTAGATGGAGTACCTGTGAGGTGTCTCCCAGATATTTGGTAAGTGAATGAATGAAAAAGCAACCACAGGTATGAGGATGAAGCCCATTTATTCTAACTTGGGTCTAAGGCTGGAATGCCACCTTTGACTGGGGATGGAATTCCTGCAGGGACCCCACCCCTGAATCTCTGCCCCTTTCAACCCACCTAAATGGGGTTCCTCAGCCCTCCCTGCATAACACAGGAGGCCAAGAGACCCAGCTGATTGGCAGTGGGTGGGGGCATACCTACCGGTGGCCCTGA